ATTATCTCCAGGTAGAGAAAAACATGTCTTTTTTATATTTTTTCCAAAACAGTATTAAAATCTATAACTTGTATTTCACCAAACATAAACTTTAAGTCCCACATATCCCCATATAGCTTGGATCTGAGCGCACATTATAGTCGAATAGCGCTCAGATCCCAAGAAAACAGTTCTCAATATTGTCGAATGAAGTTTTGATTTCACCAGTTGTTCGCGAGATTGTATCCGAGAAAGAGTTCCATAACTGTAGCTATCTGGGGTTGGTCTATTTCGTATCGCATAAAAGTCCCGAACGGTAAAGTGTTCCAGGCATTCGTGTGTTTCTAGCCGTATGAACAGGGACCTTGGTAGGCGCCAGCGGTGTTCGGTGTAATAAGTGTCCGAAAATAATTCCAGGGCATCGCCGCCATTTACCGCTGAGTGTTCGACGATTTAAAATGGCGACCACCACGTGTTCGGCAGACGAACATGGACCACCAAGCTTTTCCCCAATTACTCTGTGGTTAACCGCAAGGTCTGGGCGGTAAATGAGCGACACACGACCTCAATGGGAGGTCGGGTGATTCGGTAGTTTGTTTGTTTTATTTGTATTTGAAAAAATAGCCACACATACGCATAAATAACCGAAAGGCTGTTTCTCAGAGTCTGTTTATCACGGGATTTCGTTACAGCACATTTGAATCGGGGTGTGGGAGAAGGTATGGTGGAGGTGGGCTTGATGCAAAAACTGCCTGCAGGAACGACCTAGGCAGAATGACTTTGGCTTTTGTACCTCAAGCCTCTCTCCAAGAGGCGCATTCGGTAACCACAAGGCAACAGGCTCGCACCACAGCTGCATCCACACACTTTGAGGCTCAGGTAAGAGACCATGTAAATCCTATGACTTGTGTTCCCTGGGATACCCCGACTGAATTTGAGACAGAGGTTAAGTGGTGTAAGAAACACTATATTGAAGGTATATCGGGATAGGGTGACAGCTGATCAGGCAGGTTTAGAGGGGGGAGCGGTACGCCTGGGAAAAGGGGTTTGTACCGTATTGCTGAAAGGGTAGTGGGGGATCGGTAAATGTTACTGTGACAGAACCATCTGTCTGTCTATTGTGGTGGATTCGTCTATTTCTGCCCCCTTTCGTGTAAATGGCTGTTTCTATAGCCCAGCCACACGAATGACTGTTTTCACCGAACAAATCTACTGAACGGATGGCCACGCAGGATAGAAGTGTGCTGCTGGTTAACCTCTTGATCCCAATTAGAATGTTGTGGTTAACCGCAGACACTTCTCAATTAAACCGAATTCAGGGTGGCCGTCGTTCGTATGTCGACCACGAGGCAGCAGCCATTTTAAAACACACGAAAGCCCAGCGGTGTTTGGCACTGATTTCATGGAACTAAAAACGGACACTTTTTCTGCCAAACACCGCTGAAACAACGGGTTGCCTGGCTGCCTCGACGAAAGCGTACGAACACCAGCCGTTCTGGAGTTTTACAGCACACGAAAGGACTTAACCCACATAGCCCTCCCATGGAGTCAATCGCATACCGAAAGACTGTAAGGACTTTGACTCCATGGCGATTGAACTATGTGTGTGGGATCTGAGCGCTATTCGCCAATAATATGCACTCAGATCCAGGCTATCTGGGGATATGTGATGTGAATGGGAAATGTTCGGTTATTTTAAAGTTATGTATTTTTATGTATTTTCTGGTATTTTATTTAAGATGGCGATTTGTCTTTGTCCTGGAGATAATTTAATTACTTCTCAATTATCTCCAGGGCAGAGGGGAGGAAACCATATTGCATTGTGGGAAAAGGTTACATCTGTATGTCTGAAATGTCCCCATGTCTATCTGTCATTACAGTCTCCCATTTGGTCCCCTAGGGGAGTGTCCACCAAGTGGGAGACCTGCAAAAATACGGGCAGGTAGCCCACAGTAAAGCAGATCCTGTTTGACCCTCAATGCGGAGCTTCTGTCTCATTATTGGGGGGATTTCTTATTTGCGCTTAGAGACTGATTATTGGAACCGAAAGCTGCTTGGTGGGTATCGTTGTTCGGCGGCTAGCAGCAGTTCGTGGATTTCCGTTCGGGAGTTTGGAGCCTTTCACGGATCCCGGTCGGGAGATTACCGCTTCCCCTGATGGTGGTTCGTATACTGTAACGGAGTTACTGATATTGCGAAAGGGGAAAGTTAACTAAACGGCGGTTTCTCTTAAAGACACCAGGGGTGTCTTAACAGTTACTACTAGACAGCTGGTAGTCCCTCAGAAATACCGACAAGAACTCCTTAAGATTGCTCATGACATTACATTGTCTGGGCATCTGGGTATGACCCGAACTAGATACCGACTGACCCATGCATTCTTCTGGCCAGGCATATCTAAAGATGTCAGACAATATTACCAGACGTGTGACATTTGTCAGAGAGTAGGCAAAAGGGGCGACCGACACAAGGCCAAATTATGCTCACTACCCATTATAGAGGAGCCGTTTAGTAGAGTGGCCATAGACATAATAGGACCCTTACCCAAACCTAGTCCCTCCGGCAAGAAATACATCTTGACCGTGGTGGATTACGCCACCCGGTACCCAGAGGCAGTGACCCTCTCTAACATTCACGCAGAGACAGTGGCAGAAGCCTTAATGACAATCTTTTCCCGGGTAGAGTTTCCCCAGGAGATAATCTCCGATAGGGGTACGCAGTTCACAGCCGAAGTGACCCACCAACTCTGGAAACTATGTGGCATTAAGCCTATTGTGAATTCTGTGTACAACCCTCAGTCCAGTGGTTTATGTGAAAGGTTCAGTGGAACTTTAAAGCAGATGCTCCGTACATTTGGAGAGGCCCATAAGGACTGGGAGAGATTTTTACCCAATCTTCTTTTTGCGTACCGAGAAGTACCTCAAGAATCCACCGGGTTCTCTTCCTTTGAATTGCTGTTTGGGAGGAGAGTGAGGGGACCCTTAGACTTAATTAGAGAACATTGGGAAGGGGAAAGCAGTACAGATGGGATACCCATTGTACCGTATGTGCTGGAATTCAGGGACCGCTTGGAGGCACTAACCCAGACCGTAAGAGTAAACCTCCAAGCGGCCCAACAACGTCAGCGCTGATGGTATGATAGTGGAGCCGGGGACCGCAGCTTTCAGGTGGGACAGAAAGTTTTGATTTTAAAACCTGTCCACAATGACAAGCTGCAGGCCACCTGGCAGGGTCCATACAAAGTGGTGGAACACCACTGTTACACCACTTATGTGATTGGCCCATGCTCAGGGGTAGGGAAGAGACACATGCTCCACTGAATATGCTCAAACCTTACTATGAGAGGGTAGAGGACGTGGCAGCTTTATCCGCATCGGCCTCTGAGGATAAGGAGAATCTTCTGCTCCCCGATTTATTAGAGCGAAAAGATCAGGCAGAGAAATCCACGGAGTTCAGCTGGGGGAGCAGCTAAGTCCTCAGGAGCGTGCCCAGGTACAGGAGTTAATTGCGGCTAAGGGAGCCACCTTCTCCAATTTACCAGGGTACACTCTGCTGGCCACTCACCGGGTAGAGACCCCAGGACAGCTAACTATGCGCCAGACCCCATATCGTATCCCTGAAGTCAGGGAACATATGCGGAAAGAAAGATGTTGCAGCTAGGGGTTATCGAACATTCCGATAGCCCCTGGGCATCGCCGGTAGTGCTAGTACCCAAGAAGGATGGCACAACACGGTTCTGTGTTGACTACCGGAGGCTAAATGACAAAACAGTGTCTGATGCCTACCCGATGCCCCAGATAGACGAGATGCTAGATAAGATGGCACGAGGCCAGTACCTCACTACGATTGACTTGTGCAAAGGGTACTGGCAGATCCCTTTAGCCGAGGATGCCATTCCCAAGTCAGCGTTTGTCACCCCGTTTGGCCTGTACCAGTTTCGAGTCATGCCATTCGGGATGAAAAACGCTCCGGCTACTTTTCAAAGGATGGTAGATCGGCTACTGGATGGGTTCCAGGAGTATGCATGTGCATACCTGGACGATATTGCAATCTATAGCCAGACATGGACAGACCATCTGCGACATATTGGAGCTGTCATTGACCGTATTGGAGAGGCAGGGTTAACGCTAAAACCCAGCAAGTACCAAGTACCCAGCAAGCACAGGGTAGGGAGTGGGCAGCAAAAACCGGAACCAGCCAAAATAGAGGCTGTAGCTAAGTGGCCAACCCCCCGGACAAAAACCCAAGTGTTAGCCTTCCTGGATACCGCAGGGTACTACCGGAAGTTTGTACCCAATTACAGTGCCCTGGCCAAACCCCTTACTGACTTGACCCGCAAAAATCTTCCTCGACAGGTCATCTGGGCCCCAGAGTGTGATCAGGCATTTCAACAACTCAAGACTGCTTCGACCAATGCACCTGTACTTGCTGCTCCTGATCCAACTAAACGATTTCTTATCCACACAGACGCTTCAATGTTTGGATTGGGAGCAGTACTGAGCCAAGTTGGAGCAGATGGCGGAGAACATCCCGTAGCTTACTTAAGCAGAAAGTTATTACCACGAGAAGTAAACTACGCCGCCATTGAGAAAGAATGCCTGGCCGTGGTGTGGGTATAGAATACACACCATAACAATCTCAAAAAACTTAGCTTTATTATGTGCAAAAAGTACCAAAGTGAAAACATACGAGAAAAATAAACACAATGACAGAAGCAAGGGCAAATACAATAAGGTAATGGTAAAATACCAAAAAGATTCTTACAAGCCACAAGACAGAAACACGAGTCACCAAACCCCCCAACGTTTCGGCACCAACTGGCTGCCTTTATCAAGGGCCCTTCCACTCTGCCTACTGTATTATATGTTCAGAAGATTGTTAGCTCTGTGGGTTAGAAATCCCTTCCCTGCATGTCCTAGTTTTGCAGGTTAAACATCTTTCTCTTCTCTATATACTGAATATTGACTGAATTCTCTACATTTCGTTGTCAGCTTTGTTTGTCAGGAACTTTCCCCAACTTCCTATTTTTGTTTCTTTTTTTCTTCTTCTATTTTCTTCTGCCTTCTTTTAACTTCTGTTTTCAAAATGTCTCTCTCAGCTTGTTCATTATCAGTGTATAGATACTCAGTATCATTATACAGAGCGGTGTGTTCATTATCAGTGTATAGATACTCAGTATTATTATACAGAGCGGTGTGTTCATTATCAGTGTATAGATACTCAGTATTATTATACAGAGCGGTGTGTTCATTATCAGTGTATAGATACTCAGTATCATTATACAGAGCGCTGTGTTCATTATCAGCGTATAGATACTCAGTATCATTATACAGAGCGGTGTGTTCATTATCAGCGTATAGATACTCAGTATCATTATACAGAGCGCTGTGTTCATTATCAGTGTATAGATACTCAGTATTATTATACAGAGCGCTGTGTTCATTATCAGTGTATAGATACTCAGTATTATTATACAGAGCGGTGTGTTCATTATCAGTGTATAGATACTCAGTATCATTATACAGAGCGGTGTGTTCATTATCAGTGTATAGATACTCAGTATCATTATACAGAGCGGTGTGTTCATTATCAGCGTATAGATACTCAGTATCATTATACAGAGCGGTGTGTTCATTATCAGCGTATAGATACTCAGTATCATTATACAGAGCGGTGTGTTCATTATCAGTGTATAGATACTCAGTATTATTATACAGAGCGGTGTGTTCATTATCAGTGTATAGATACTCAGTATCATTATACAAAGCCGTGTGTTCAGTATCATTGTATAGATACTCAGTATCATTATATATATTATAAACTGGCCAAATTTGAAAAAGTCTCCATTTTGGCTGATTTGGGGTCAGTTTGCATTTTCCTGGTAAGCGGGTCCCTGGGTAAATAAACTTTCTGTTATGTGTTGTAAAATGATCTGTTTTCTCTTTGTTTGTTTATGAAACTATCTAGTGCCCCTTAACAAAATAATTGTACATAAAGTGTCCTCTCACATTCTTCAGCCTGGGGTAGGCTGACCAGACCCACATGCGCCCCACTCCTCCTTTGTCCGTGGCCTTCGAGGCTAAGGGATGTTGGAACAGGTTTGATACACAGCCCCCTGAGCTGTTTACATACCCGAATTCCATACAGCATTTCAAACATTCCCTCACAATGTGATCACTAAATAAAGGCCTACACTTTCACCCAAGCAAAGCGTCTTAACGCCACCCCTCTATAAGCAGCGGAGATACCAAGGATATTCACTAAGCAGATCTGATAATGGGTATATCACATTGTGTCAACTGGTGCCAAGTCTACAGGAGGGGCCCTCTAAACACATACAGCTCATTGATTGTTACAGTATAATCTCACACAGATTGTAACAGTATTATATCACACTGACTGTTTCATTATAATCTCACACTGACTGTTACAGTATTCTATCACAATAACTGTTACAGTATTATAATCTCACACTGACTGTTACATTATAATCTCACACTGACTGTTACAGTATTATATCACAATAACTGTTACAGTATTATAATCTCACACTGACTGTTACATTATAATCTCACACAGATTGTAACAGTATTATATCACACTGACTGTTACATTATAATCTCACACTGATTGTTACAGTATTATAATCTCACACTGACTGTTACAGTATCATCTCACACTGATTGTTACACTATTATCTCACACAGATTGTTACAGTATTATCTCACACTGATTGTGGCAAACCTAGCCACTTAAGACTGTATTTACATGTATGTGATATTGTGGCTTTAAGACTACCTGAACTGTCCATGTTCCCTATTCTATATTTTATGTGAACGAAAGCATTCGTATGCTGGCGGCACGAAAGCCACCAGCATTCATACAGTAGTTTCACGAACAGTGAATTTCAACACTGTTCGTGAAACAAACAAACTATTGAGTGGGAGACCACACACAGGAGGTCGTGTTGCTCCCATTATGGACCGCAACAAAGTATCTTTCAACAGTTAATAAATGTTCAGGGTGGCCGCCGTTCGGATACGACCACGCGGCGGTGGCCATCTTGGATCCTTTGTTAGCCCAGCGGTGTTTGGTCGTCGAGTGCCTGGAACTAAAATCAGCTATTCCACGGCACGAATACCACTGGACTTCCAGGCCGTTCGGGAGCACCGGTCTTTCGGTATTTTAACTCTGCATGTGTATTCGGGACTTTTGTGAAGAATTTGTGTTCAAGTGTATTTCGTGCGGCGTTCGGCTAATTGTGCTGGGATCTGAGCGGTACTTTCACAAAGTATGAACTCAGACCGCAGCTATCTGCCGAATGGTCATTCGGTACAATAGCACAAATAATATTAGAGTTATAGATTTTTATGTAAAAAGCCAGTTCTGCTGTACGGAGGGATAATCCACTTAACTGGATATTCTAGTGGGAGTATCCCTCTCTTACAGCAGTGCATGGTGGGAGAAATTTTCTGATTGTTAAGTTCCCCTTGTAGTCCCCTACTGTACAACCCCTGTAAAGTCAGCAAGGAAACCCCTTGCATTGGGAACCACATAAATACTGGAGCTTGTGAATAAAACCTCAGTTGACTCCCAGCCTATGTGTCATCTAGTTCTTGGGAAGGAAGGATCTGTATAAAGCTACTGGGATTATTGTATGCTGTACCTGTTTTACCTGGATTATTATATGCTGCTCCTGTCTACCAGCAGAGATACTGTGGATTATACTACCTCTCTGCTACACTGATTGTAACAGTATTATATCACACAGACTGTTACACTATAATCTCACACTGACTGTTACAGTATTATCTCACACTGACTGTTACAGTATAATCTCACACTGATTGTTACAGTATTATAATCTAATACTGATTGTTACAGTATAATCTCACACTGACTGTTACAGTATTATCTCACACTGACTGTTACAGCATTATAATCTCATACTGACTGTTACAGTATAATCTCACACTGATTGCTACTGTATTATAATCTCACACTGATTCTTACAGTATAATCTCAAACTGATTGCTACTGTATTATAATCTCACACCAACTGTTACAGTATTTATAATCTAATACTGATTGTTACAGTATAATCTCACACTGATTGTAACAGTATTATAATCTAATACTGATTGTTACAGTATTATAATCTCACACTGACTGTTACATTATAATCTCACACTGACTGTTACAGTATTATATCACACTGATTGTTACAGTATAATCTCACACTGACTGTTACATTATAATCTCACACTGACTGTTACAGTATTATATCACACTGATTGTTACAGTATAATCTCACACTGATTGTTACAGTATTATATCACACTGATTGTTACAGTATAATCTCACACTGACTGTTACAGTATAATCTCACACTGATTGTTACAGTATCATCTCACACTGATTGTTACAGTATAATCTCACACTGACTGTTACAGTATAATCTCACACTGATTGTTACAGTATCATCTCACACTGACTGTTACAGTATAATCTCACACTGATTGTTACAGTATCATCTCACACTGACTGTTACATTATAATCTCACACTGATTGTTACAGTATCATCTCACACTGATTGTTACAGTATAATCTCACATTGATTGTTACAGTATAATCTCACACTGACTGTTACAGTATTATATCACACAGACTGTTACAGTATTATTATCTCACATTGATTGTTACAGTATAATCTCACACTGACTCTTCAAACTAAAATTGATAAAATTTAGCGTTTTAATGTGTGTCCCTATCTGTCACTGATTGATACAGTGTTACACGAGATCAGGGGTTCTAACACACTGAATGTACATATAATTCCAGCTTTTTCATGCATTGAATTGGGCATCACATTGGGATTTAATAGCTTTATTATTCCAAATCTATATTAACATATTGTGGACAATGCATTTCACCAGTCGTGGCCAAAAATGTTCAGTTCTGTTAAAAGTTCTGTGCACAGACTCTAATTTACAGGTTAAATCAAGTCGTGATTTCAAAACTTAACAACACATAGTATAAGATAGTGTGTCAATCAGGACAATGTGTCAGATATAAATGTATTATTGTGGATTATATGACTTACATTTTATACACTTAGAGCCGAGACACATACGGCTCCATGGAAGATAAGCATTCTGATAAGGAATCCTCTTTCAAAACTAGTAAGTATTTACGTTCTGTACTGTTGGTTGGATTCTTTTTTAATCTTTTTATATTGCATGCAGTTTGAAAAGGTTGAAGTGCCAGGAAGTAAAGAAACACAAGATTTGAACCAATCGATCATGGCTCCAACAAATGTGAGTGTGATACTCGCAATTTTCTATCTCACACATTGTCCACATTTATACGGAATCACACAAGTTTTTTTGTTTTCATTTTATAGAAACATACATTGCTATAAACTATGTCAAATAATTGTGAGTGCGTGGGTTTGGTTTACCGTTTCATATTGCACAGTTGTTTCATTCTTTGGGTGTGGTGTATTTTGGAGAAACCACACATTGTTGGAGTTCTAATTGTTATTGTCTTTTGAAGTAAGCACCTAGATTGCATTTATCTCTACACAATCTGCAATTGATCCGTATTTTTTTATTACATAAAACAGACAATGCATTAAAATTATGCACAAAAATTAGTAAAAATAAAAATGATAGCTAATTGCTTAATTTGCCCAGACAAGTGCTGCAGCTGGTGACTGGAAAGGCCCTCCACCAACCAAGAGCCCCAGATTGTGTTTCTGGAGTATGGAGGTGTGATCTTGCCCCATGATCTCCGGTAGAGCACTAAGTATGAGATCAGTAGTCTATCCGTAGCAGAAGGTCCATTCGTGACATAGGATTCTGCTATCAGTTTACACTCTGACCGTTTCACTGTTGCACAACAAGAGGACATAGTCTTAAATTAGAGGGGCAAAGGTTTAAAAATAATATCTGGAAATATTACTTTACTGAGAGGGTAGTGGATGCATGGAATAGGCTTCCAGCTGAAGTGGTAGAGGTTAACACAGTAAAGGAGTTTAGGCATGTGTGGGATAGGCATAAGGCTATCCTAGATATAAGATAAGGCAGGGGACTAATGAAAGTATTTAGAAAATTGGGCAGACTAGATGGGCTGAATGGTTCTTATCTGCCGTCACATTCTATGTTTCTATGTTTCTATGTGTTGCGGAACGCTGATCTCTCGCAGACTATTTCCACTGGTAATCCTAGTGTGGCTCAGTGTGGCGGAACCAGCCTCGCCACTGGGCATTGGAGAAGACTGATTGCCAGCCTCCTGCCATGTGACTATGGCCACTGGGATGTATTGCCTGCTCTCCTGTACTGCTGAGGATTGCTACCAACTAAGTGGATTTGGCTATGGAGCTTGTGTAGTGCCCTCTGTTGGTAGCAACAGTAATATGCACTACCTGAATAGCAAGACTGGTAATTTTCATATTCGGGTAGATTTGCATATCGCTAATTCTGCATGCAGGAGAGACATTTTGTGTTAATTATGGTCTTCCCCACCCATTTATAAATATGTAATTATGTTATAATAAGTCACTGTATGTTGCCTGCTATGATTTGACAATTTGTAATTTTATTGAGTTTTCACAGCAATGTTAATGTAATGACCATATGGGCTAGTCCCAAGTAAAATAAAGTTTTAGACAGTTCCCTCAATTTGTAGTCGTGTCTCTGTTACAAGGGATTGCTATGCTCTGCATATTCCCTTACTATAATCACTCCTAAGCTCTTTTAAGAGCTTGTTACTGCTTCGCTCTGAGGGAAGAGAGGTTTGGCCTGTGGTGGTTGTGGTGTCGACTAGAGTACTTGGAATCCTCAAGAAGCGCTAGGAGCATCCATCAACGGAGGTACCCAGTCGGGTGCCTGGGGATCCATTACACTCAGGAACCCATAGTTAACCCAGGAGAACATCCACCGTAATCAATAAAATAATCCAATAAAGTAGCAGGCACGATCAGTAATATAATCCAGCAATATCCCATCACATTTCCCAATAACTGGACGACACACAGTATCAGGAGCAGAACTCCACTTTTAATCACACAACCCCTGCTTTTATGCAATCCTCCCATGCAAGGGAGGCACCCACAATAATAAGTACAGTAACCAATTAGGTATAAGGTACAACCCAC